TTTTTTCAAATCTTTTTTCAAGGTTCTTAGTTTCTTTGCATTGATTTAATACATGATCTTTTAGCTCACAAAAGTTTCTCATTATCCATCTTCTGAAGTCTAATTCCGTCATTTCGTCACAGTCATTCTCCGTCCAGCTTTGCTCCCTTGCTGGTGAGGAGTTTTGGTCCTTTCTAGGAGGCGAGGTGTTCTGGTTTCGGGTGTTTTCCTCCTTTTTGCGCTGGTTTCTTCCCATCTTTGTGGATTTGTCCGCTGGTCGTCTGCGTAGTTGCTGACTTTTCGTTTGGGTCTCTGAGTGGACACCTAGATTGTTGATGATGAAGTATTTCTGTTGCTTGGTTTTCCTTCTACCAGTCTAGCCCCTTCGCTGTACGACTGCTGAGGTCCGCTCCAGACCCTGCTTGTCTGGGGTGCACCTCTAGTAGCTGTGGCACAGCGAGGGATGCTACCAGTTTCTTTTTCTGCTCTCTTTGTCCCAGGATGATGCCTGCCTAATGTCAGTCTTTTGGATATAGAGGGGTCAGGGAGCTGCTTGAGGAGACAGTTTGTACTTTATAGGGGTTTAATTGCTGAGCTGTGTGCTCTGTTGTTCCTTCAGGGCTGTTAGGCTGCTATGTTTTATTCTGCTGCAACAGAGCTCTTTAAAAACCCCTTTTTTTTTTTTTTTTTTTTTCTCAAATGCTCTGTGTTGAGGGGTTTGGGCTTTATTTTTGGATGTCCGATCAGGTGTCCTGCCCAGCTAGAAGGCAGACTAGCCACTGTTTGGCTGCCGAGGCTCCGCCCTGCTGTTGTGTGATTCGCGCTGTTCCTGCCGGCTCTGCTGTGGTCTCCGCCACGCCCTGCAGCGGAGTCTCTTCGTTGTAGCGTGTTGCCTCAGCAACGGCAGGCTGCCTCAGCAGGGGGCGTGTATCTCAGTAGGGACGGGTTGCCTCGGCAACGGCTGGCTGCGTCAGCAATGGGCGTGTGTCTCAGTTGGGGAGGGTTGCCTCGGCAACGGCTGGCTGCGTCAGCAGTGGGCGTGTATCTCAGTTGGGGCGGGTTGCCTCGGCAACGGCTGGCTGCGTCAGCAGTGGGCGTGTATCTCAGTTGGGGCGGGTTGCCTCGGTAGTGGTGGACGCCCCTCCCCCACAGAGCGTCTCGGACCGTCTGCTCGGGATAGTTTGAAATCGCGGTTTTGTTCGTCCCACTGTGTATCCCAATCCCTGCAATCCCCTGGGCTGGCCTACTGTCCAAGTCTCATTCAGTCTCAAGTCCAGCCCTCTCAAGTCTCAGGTTGCCGGTTCAACAGGGCACCCGGACAAGCGCGCCCTGTGGGGATTGCTGGGTAGGGCCGGCCGCCGCCGCCCCGGCTGCCGGCTTCGCCAGGCAGACCTACTGCCTGGCGTCCCGTGTCTTTTTTATACTTGGGAGTTTCCCCGTTCTGTGGGCAACAAAGATCAGTCTGGAAATGCCGCTCTGACTCACCGTTTGCGGATTCAACGAGAAGAGCTCCAATCCTGGGTTGTTCTCACAGCGCCATCTTGAGTCCTCCACCTCCCCTTCAACTTCTTTTGCAGCCCCTCCTCCACCTCCAACCATCAGTGTTAGGATTTCAACCTCTGTGCTCATGAGTGACTTGGTCACTTTCTGGAAAAAACTTCATGATGACTCTCAAGTTTATATTTCCACCATAACTTACTCCTAAACCTTATACAACTACTTCTGAAGTCCCACAAGCAATTGAAATTTACAATGTCCCCAAATCCTTATTTCCTCCTTTTCCCCACTCCCATCTATTTTGCATGTCTAGGTGACCGCCTGCACCCAATCTTGAGTCGCCTCTTTCTCGCTAGGTGAAAAAGTTCCTGAGGTCTATATAATAAATACCTGGTTCTCTCCTATTCTCCATTTCTGATATTGCAGCACCTGTTCATACTCAACCTCCTCCTCTTCCTCCTCCTCCTCCTCCTTCTTCTTCTTTCTTCCTTCTTCTCCTTCTCCTTCTCTTTCTACTTCTTTTTTTGCTTTTCTTACTGTGATACAGTTTATATGCAGTATAATTCACACTTTTAAGTGTATAGATAATTCTATGAGTTTTGACAAATGCTTATAGTTGTGTTACCACAACCACAATCTAAATATGCAACACGTTCCATCACCCCACAAAAAGCTCTCCCATGTTCATCTATAGTCAGCCCCTTTTCCTACCCTCAGCGCCTGGAAACCACTGATCTGTTTTCTATCCTTACAGTTTTTCTTCTTCTAGAATGTCATATATATATGGAATTATAAAGTATGCAATCTTGAGTCTGGTATCTTTCACTCAGCATAATAAATGTGAGACTTATCCATGTAGTTGTAGGCATCTGTAATTCATTCCTTTTGACTGCATAGATACATTAGTTTGTTTATCTATTTACCAGTTGAAGAACATTACTTTGTTTTCAGTTTTTGGCAACTGTGAATAAAACCACTATAAACATTCATGTTTAGGTTTCCATGTGAACACAGTTTTCATTTCACTTGGGTTAATAACAAGTAGTGGGATTGTTGGGTCATATGATAAGTACATGTATAATTTTATTAAAAAAACTACAAAACTATTTTACAAAGTGGCTGATCCATCTTGTTTTCTCACCAGTGATGTTTGAGAGCTCTAGATGCTCTGCATCCATGTCCTCACTTAGTATTACCAGTTTTATATTCTTATTTTTAGCCAATCTAAGAGATGTGTAGTGGTATCTCATTGTGGTTTTAATTTCATTTCATTCAATGATTAATGACATTAAGCATATTTTCATGTGCTTATTTGCCATCCATAGATCCTCTTTGGTGAAGCATTTGTTCCCATCTTTGCGCCCTCTTTCACCTTAAACAAATGAATTGTTTTTCTGTTATTAGGTTTTTAAGAGCTGGTATATATTCTGGAGGCAAGTCCTTTATCAGATAAAGGACTGTGTTTTGCAAAAGTTTTCTCCCAATCTGTAGTTTGTCTTTTTGTTTTCTTAAGTGTCTTTAGGCCAGGTGCAGTGGTTCATTGCTGTAATCCCAGGACTTCTGGAGGCAGAGTTGGGTGGATTGCTTGACTTCAGGAGTTCAAGACCAGCCTGGGTAAGATGACAAAACCCTGACTCTACAAAAAATATAATAATTATCTGAGTGTGATGGTGCATGTCTATAAGTCCAGCTACTTGTGGGGCTGAGGCAGGAGAATTGCTTGAGCCCAGGAGGTTGAGGCTACAGTGAGCCATGTTCATGTCACTGCACTCCAGCCTGGGTGACAAGAGCAAGACCCTGTCTCAAAAAAAAAAGTTGTCTTTAATAAACTTTTTATTTCCAGATGATTATAGATTTGATGCAATTGTGAAAAATAAAACAGCGAGAACTAATGTACCTGTCTCTCAGTTTTCCCCAATGGTAACATCTTGCATAACTATATATCAAAATCAGGGAATTGACATTGATTCAATCCATCAATCTTATTTAATTTTATTTGACTTTTGCCAGTTTTATGTGTGGTTATTTGAATAAACACACGTGTATGTATTCTGTTCTATGCAGAGCTATCACATGTGTAGATTTCTGTGACCACCATCACAGTCAAGATACAGAAGAGCCCATCAAAAGGATATCTTTTATAACCATACCCTGCACACCTCCTTGGCAACCACTAATTTCTCTCCATCTCTATAATTTTGTCATTTCATGAATGTTATACAAACAGAACCATACAATATTTAACCTTTGAGTCTGGCTTTTTTTCTTGAAACATAATTCCCTGAAAATTCATTCCAATTTGTTACATGTATCAACACTTCCTCCCTTTTTAATTGCTGAATGGTATTCCATGTTTTTTTAACCATCAGCTGAAGGACATCTGGGTTTTTTCCAGTTTGGGGCTTTTACAAATAAAGGTGCTATAAACTATAAACACACATGTGTAGGTTTTTGTGTGACTCTTGAGCACACACAAAAAAATGTATGCTCATTTTCATTTATCTGAGATATATGCTTTAGAGTCCAATTGCTGTGTGTTAGAGTAGCTGCACCTTTAGTTTTGAAAGAAACTGTCAAACTGTTTTCCAAAGTGGCTGTACCTTTATACAGTGTGTGTTTTACATCATACATTCCCACCAGTAAAGTACAACTGATTCAGTTTCTCGACATCTTTGTCAGCATCTGGTGTTGCCACTTTTTGTTTTTAGCCATTCTGATAGATGAATAGTGATGTCTCATTGTGGTTTTAATTTATATTTCTCATGTGGATAATAATGTTGACTATCTTGTCATGTTCTAACAGTGTTTGAAAAGCTCATCCTGTCTTGCCATGCCTATTGCATGGGAAACAGTCCCTTTCGTCCAGTTATATCCTTTTCCAAAACAGAGCTAGCCCACTTCTACTTACATCATAGCACAGCTTGTATTCCTCGGTTTTGATTTCCTGTTGAAAATCTGTTTCCGTGTCACCTGAAAGGCCTTGTGAAGAAAAAAAAATCTATCTCCCTTTTCAGACAGTGATCTCCAAGTGGGCCGGAGCAGTTTTGCAATCTCGGCTCACTGCAGCTTCGACCTCCTGGGCTGGGGCGATCCTCCCGCCTCAACCTCCGGATTAGCTGGGATACAGGCGTGCCACCATGCCTGGCTAACTTTTGCATTTTTTCGTAGAGACGGGGTCTCACTATGCTGCCCAGGCTGGTCTCAACCTCCTGGGCTCCAAGTGATCCTCCCACCTCGGCTTCCCCAAAACTGCCGGGATTACAAGCGTGAGCCACCGCGCGCGGCCCAGTGCTGTATTCTTTTAAAAGGCAAGGGCGTGGAGAAAAAAAATGGGTGAAGGAGCGGGGCGGGACAAGGTATGGTGGTTGTCCCCCTTTCAACCACTGTCCAGGCCTACACGGGCGCCCAGAGCTCACAGCCCAGAGGCTCGCTCATGCGCATGCGCAGCGCTCTTCCCCCCCCCCCCGCCCCACCCCAACCCCTGGCCACGCCCCTTAGTGGCTCCCTTAGCGTCACGACCAATTAAGGAAGGAGGCGGGATCCCGGCTGCCACGGTGCTCACTGGGTAGTGTCCCTAGCTACTGTTGCTAAGACTGTGGGTCGCCTGAGGTGGTGGGAGTTAGTTTTGGCAACCGGTGCCTGAGAGAAGTCGAGGGTCATTGCAGAGCCAGGAAGGAGATGGTGAAGCAGACGATCCAGATATTCGCGAGGGTGAAACCCCCAGTCCGGAAGCACCAACAAGGGGTACGGGCTGGAGCCTCCGGGGCGCCGGCGCGGCGGGGCCTCCTGGGCCGGGGTCGGGCGGCACGCGAAGGGGCTGGGCTGAGGTGAGGGGCTTGCCGGCCGGGCTTCCCGCACACACCGACCGGGGCGCCCTGTAGCCGCGAAGACGCCGGCGCACTGCAGTCAGGGACGCGACCGACAGCCAGGCCACTCCCACCTGGCACGGCGCAGACCCTGCACGGAGTTTTCACACTAATGCCGTGTTCAGTATGCCTGTATAGTGTGCTCTTCAACTACACATAAGCACTTACTGCACCTTTCTGGGAAACTCACGCAGCACCGCACACGCAGATACACTCAAAGGTACGTTTTGGCACTCGGAGAAAACGTGCAAGCAAGAGATGCAAGTTTGTGTACGTCTGAAATAATACAAATATAGATAGACACAATTGCACGAAGCATACATATATTTAGTACTTTGCACCCAGTGGGACCTCAGTAATTTGTTGACTCTGTTGTCATTCTCCAACATAAACGTGAACTTTTACATATGCTCCTTGTATTGATAGATACAGGTAGATCCAGATAGATACATCCTGACCCAAAGAATACGTATGTGTACTTCATTCAGAAACCGTTAACTAAATATTTACTAGGTACTTCCTCTAGTGTGCTAAATTCAGAAAGGTACAAAGATGGTTAAGACATTGCCCTGGCTCTAAGCAATGATATTTTGTATGCTTCTTAAATGTTTCAAAACATTCTCTCTTCTACCTAGAAGGGAGCATAGTCATTCTTATGTATTTTGATAAATGGCCACCTGAAGTGCTTTATCTGTATTATCTTTCATTCTCACAAAAACCCTGCAAGGTTAGTGTCTTCTTCCTCATTTTACAGATTAGGAAACTGAGTCTCAGGTTAAATAATGTGACCAAGGCATCCACCTGGTGAGTGGCAGAGCTGTAATTTTAATTAAGGATTTTTGATTCCAAAGCTATCTGCTCTTTGGAAACTTTTTTTTCCCTTTTTTTTTAGTAGTAAAATGTTAACTCCTAAATTCCCAAAGTGAGAATTTAAGCAAGGGCAGTTTGGGTCATATTTATGAAGTGGGCATATAAATAATATTGTATTCCTATTCCATATATATATATATGTTTAGTGGAACACCATAGCATCTCATGATTAAGCATTTGCCTCGTATAATTCATGTATTTAAAACAGGAATAAAGTCGTGTAGAATGAATCATGGTTATCTTCCCATATTCTTTCCTCTAATAATCACTTACATGGATTTCTTTTTAGAGTGCATCATATGTAAAGAGTGTATTATAGGTAACATTTCCCCTCAGACTCTTAGCTTAAACTGTTGAGCTTATCTACATGGGCTCAGCAGTCATAGCACAGGCTGGGATAAGGTCAAAAGTGAGAATGGGTAGGGGTACATTTTTTTATTGCATTTTAGGTTTTGGGGTACATGTGCAGAACATGCAAGATAGTTGCATAGGTACATACGTGGCAGTGTGATTTGCTGTCTTCCTCCCCTTCACCCACATCTGGCATTTCTCCCCACGCTAACCCTCCCCAGCTTCCCCCCCATGCTGTCCCTCCCCATTCCCCCCAATAGACCCCAGTGTGTAGTGCTCCCCTCCCTGTGTCCATGTGTTCTCATTGTTCATCACCTACCTATGAGTGAGAATCTGTGGTATTTCATTTTCTGTTCTTGTGTCAGTTTGCTGAGAATGATGTTCGTCAGTTTCATCCATGTCCCTACAAAGGACACGAACTCATCGTTTTTGATGGCTGCATAATATTCCATGGTGTATATGTGCCACATTTTTCCAGTCCAGTCTATCATCGATGGGCATTTGGGTTGGTTCCAGGTCTTTGCTATTGTAAGCAGTGCTGCAATGAACATTCGTGTGCATGTGTCCTTATAGTAGAACGATTTAGAGTCCTTTGGATATATACCCAGTAATGGGATTGCTGGGTCAAATGGAATTTCTATTTCTAGGTCCTTGAGGAATCACCACACTGTCTTCCACAATGGTTGAACTAATTTACACTCCCACCAGCAGTGTAAAAGAGTTCCTATTTCTCCACATCCTCTCCAGCATCTTTGTCTCCAGATTTTTTAATGATCACCATTCTAACTGGCGTGAGATGGTATCTCAATGTAGTTTTGATTTGCATTTCTCTGATGACCAGTGATGATGAGCATTTTTTCATGTTTGCTGGCCTCATGTATGTCTTCTTTTGTAAAGTGTCTGTTCATATCCTTTGCCCATTTTTGAATGGACTTGTTTGTTTTTTTCCTGTAAATCTGTTTGAGTTCTTTATAAATTCTGGATATCAGCCCTTTGTCAGATGGGCAAACTGCAAAATTTTTTTCCCATTCTGTTGGTTGCTGATTCACTCTCGTGACTGTTTCTTTTGCCGTGCAGAAGCTGTGGAGTTTGATTAGGTCCCATTTGTCTATTTTGGCTTTTGCTGCCAGTGCTTTTGGTGTTTTGGTCAAGAAGTCCTTGCCTACTCCTATGTCCTGAATGGTTTTGCCTAGATTTTCTTCTAGGGTTTTTATCGTGCCAGGTCTTATGTTTAAGTCTTTAATCCATCTGGAGTTAATTTTAGTGTACTGTGTCAGGAAGGGGTCCAGTTTCTGCTTTCTGTACATGGCTAGCCAGTTTTCCCAACACCATTTATTAAACAGGGAATCCTTTCCCCATTGCTTGTTTTTGTCAGGTTTATCAAAGATTGTATGGTAGTAGATATATTTTGTTGCCTCCAATGCCTCTGTTCTGTTCCATTGGTCTATATCTCTGTTTTGGTACCAGTACCATGCTGTTTTGATTAATGTAGCCTTGTAGTATAGTTTGAAATCCAGTAGTGTGATGCCCCCCGCTGTGTTCTTTTTGCTTAGAATTGACTTGGCTATGCGGGCTCTCTTTTGGTTCCATATGAAGTTCATGTTGGTTTTTTCCAGTTCTGTGAAGAAAGTCAATGGTAGCTTGATGGGGATAGTGTTGAGTCTGTAAATTACTTTGGGCAGTATGGCCATTTTCACGATATTGATTCTTCCTAACCGTGAACATGGAATGTTTCTCCATCTGTTTGTGTCCTCTCTTATTTCGTTGAGCAGTGGTTTGTAGTTTTCCTTGAAGAAGTCCCTTACGTTCCTTGTTAGTTGTATTCCTAGATATTTTATTCTCTTTGTAGCAATTGTGAATGGTAGTTCGTTCTTGATTTGGCTCTCTTTAAGTCTATTATTGGTGTATAGAAACGCTTGTGATTTTTGCACATTGATTTTATATCCTGAGACTTTGCTTAAGTTGCTTATCAGTTTCAGGAGTTTTTGGGTGGAAACAATGGGGTCTTCTAGATATACTATCATGTCGCCTGCAAATAGAGACAATTTGGCTTCCTCCTTTCCTATTTGAATACCCTTTATTTCTTTTTCTTGCCTGATTGCTCTGGCTAGAACTTCCAGTACTATATGGAATAGGAGTGGTGAGAGAGGGCATCCTTGTCTAGTGCCGGATTTCAAAAGGAATGCTTCCAGTTTTTGCCCATTCAGTATGATATTGGCTGTTGGTTGTCGTAAATAGCTTTTATTACTTTGAGATACATTCCATCAATACCAAGTTTATTGAGGGCTTTTAGCATAAAGGGCTGTTAAATTTTGTCAAAGGCCTTCTCTGCATCAATTGAGATAATCATGTGGTTTTTGTTTTGGTTCTGTTTATGTGGTGAATTACATTTATAGACTTGCATATGTTGAACCAGCCTTGCATCCCTGGGATGAATCCTACATGATCATGATGGATAAGCTTTTTGATGTGCTGTTGCAATCGGCTTGCCAGTATTTTATTGAAGATTTTTGCATCTATGTTCATCATGGATATTGGCCTGAAGTTTTCTTTTCCTGTTGAGTCTCTGCTGTGTTTTGGTATCAGGATGATGTTGGTCTCATAAAATGATTTGGGAAGGATTCCCTCTTTTTGGATTATTTGGAATAGTTTCAGAAGGAATGGTAACAGTTCCTCTTTGTTTGTCTGGTAGAATTCGGGTGTGAACCCATCTGGACCTGGGCTTTTTTTGTGTGGTAGGCTCTTAATTGCTGCCTCAACTTCAGACCTTGTTATTGGTCTATTCATGGTTTTGGCTTCCTCCTGGTTTAGGCTTGGGAGGACACAAGTGTCCAGGAATTTATCCATTTCTTCCAGGTTTACTAGTTTATGTGCATAGAGTTGTGTGTAATATTCTCTGATGATGGTTTGAATTTCTGTGGAATCTGTGGTGATTTCCCCTTTATTTTTTATTGCATCTATTTGGTTATTCTCTCTTTTCTTTTTTATCAATCTGGCTAGTGGTCTGTCTATTTTGTTGATCTTTTCAAAAACCAGCTCTTGGATTTATTGATTTTTTTTGAAGGGTTTTTCGTGTCTCTATCTCCTTCAGTTCAGCTCTGATCTTAGTTATTTCTTGTCTTCTGCTAGGTTTTGAGTGTTTTTGATCTTGTTCCTCTAGCTCTTTCAATTTTGATGATAAGGTGTCAATTTTGGATCTCTCCACTCTTCTCATGTGGGCACTTATTGCTATATATTTTCCTCTAGAGACTGCTTTAAACATGTCCCAGAGATTCTGGTATGTTGTGTCTCTGTTCTCATTGGTTTTGAAGAACTTCTTTATTTCTGCCTTCATTTCATTGTTTATCCAGTCAACATTCAAGAGCCAGTTGTTCAGTTTCCATGAAACTGTGCGGTTCTGAGTTAGTTTCTGAATTCTGAGTTCTAACTTGATTGCACTGTGGTCTGAGAGACTGTTTGTTATGATTTCAGTTGTTTTGCATTTGCTGAGGAGTGCTTTGCTTCCAATTATGTGGTCAATTTTAGAGTAGGTGTGATGTGGTGCTGAGAAGAATGTATATTCTGTGGATTTGGGGTGGAGAGTTCTGTAAATGTCTATCAGCTTTGCTTGTTCCAGGTCTGAGTTCAAGTCCTGGATGTCCTTGTTAACTTTCTGTC